ACCTTGCACTCGTCTCTTCAAACAAAATGAAATATACTCCAACAAGTGAGATTTTTACTTGTATTATATATATATATTTTAATTCTTCGATATTTTAAAAACTTTTCTTCATAATGCAGGCCATTGTTGGAGGTATCGCAAGTCATGGACATGAAGCGGCGGCAAAGGTAGAGGCATCTGATTCAGCAGAGTCTCAGAATGGTAGGAAAGAAGATGACCTAGAACGCGTCGCTGTCTTTAAAGGCCTAGTGGCTTTGGGTGGTGTCTACTTCTTCTTCATGGCTGAGAAACTTGTCAGTCTGATCTCCGAATACCGGGCCGAGAAGAAGGCTGCAAAGGTCATGCTTGCTTTTTGACAACTCAAGCGCTACTCCTTAAGCTTAAATTTTTATAGAAATGTATTTATTGCCTTAAACGCTCTGGTTAGGCTTCAGTCTGCTACAAGAAGCCGTGATTTGTATCTGAATGCTGCAAAAAAACTGCTTTATTAAACGATTTGACTCAGCAAGTGTGGAGACTGTGCCAGAGGTCTTAGGACCGTCAAACCAGCGACCATAGCCTCTTATCCGGATTTCATGCTTAATTTATTAATTCGTTTTTTATTTAGTAAAAGTCATGGCTAACGATGATAATTAATAACTAATCTAATTGGGCTGTCGATGCTGTCGTCAGCAATGACGACATAATTTGTGGCTTAAACCTGTACCGCTTAGAACTGATAAGCATCTCTATGCACTGTGCCAAATCATGTGAGCTTGCGAAGTAGACCATCTACTTTAGAAAATGGATATTATTAAATCATACCATTTCATTTCTTTGACCCATTATCTTTAAATACCGGCTATAATTAGATATTGGGAAAAAGGTGCACATTGTCGGTCAAATTTACTTATAACCGGTGGTTGACGTATCTTTCACAAGTACAAGCACACCGATTTTCCCATTGTCAGTTGGTCTACTCCTAGTCAAACTTTTTCCTGTCAAAATGATGCTTATTGAAAAAAACAGGAAATCTGGGACTTATACAACGTCTCTCTAGGGTAAGAATATAATTATCCGTCATGTGGATATATATACTAACGAATTTTGAAAGTACATCTAGTAACGAGTAAACTTATGAAAAGCCGACAATGCCTTGGGATAGATCTCTATATAGTCCAAATCCCTATTCTTCACATTTTAGGAGGAAAGAGAGCGATGTTTACGCAACCCCCGCCGGTCAATGGAACCAAGACGAATGAGTCATGTGCGTGTTTCTATCCCTTCTGCAGGAACATTAGACGGCAACTTGCTAAAAGGCTCCCGCCTTTTTGATCCTACTTGCCGACGGCAGTCAAGAGCAATGTCTATTGCAGGTGAAGAAATCCTGACTACTGGCCTGACCAGTAAAGGTGAGATGAACTCGACATATTTTGATTTCCTCCGACTAAAGAAGATTTTTGTACCGAAACTAGAAGGATGCGACCTTTGATTTGATATCAGTCTCCTTTCCTTGCTTAGTTTGATCTCTTTATCTCAACTTAATAATAGTCACAGATACACTTTGAAGATCATGCTCATACTTTATTCTCGGTGGTTTCTACCATTTATTCTTCGACCAGCTGACCTTTCCCAAAAGCCTTGCCGACATCGTATTGGGCCGGGTCATTCAGTAGTGCCAACCTTAGCAGCGTGATAGAGCTTGTCCGAAGGACAAGTGAAGTCAATCTCATTGACTATGACGGGCGTTAGCTCAGTGCTCAGGCTGGCTCTTCTTATTACCCATACAGACTACGATGGTG